CGGTGTGAAGTAAAAGCTTCTCCCACAAGTGGTCCATTAGTTGCCTGGACTTTTTGTAGAGAGGGGTACCTATCTGCTGAGAGCCAAGAGGGGGCAGAAAACTGCACCTGTGCGATTTCAGGCAAATCACATAGTGCACAAGTGTGAACTTGTCACCCGTATTAGCCTGTAGTTACTCATAGTGGGACTGAGTAGCTGCATGAGTAACTGCCTAACCCTGGCGTGAGTACAGGGTTCGTGTTCTGGATCTTAGCCCCTTCACGCTTCAGTTTCTTCACCAGTAAAATGAAGCTAAAAGCAGCTTCCTTAAGGAGGTGGTGTTCTTTCCCCTCCTGTCAATGCTTTGAGATTGCCTGAGAGATGGTACCAAAGCGGCACGGGTTCTTACTACTTAGAAACTGCCCTGCTAACTCTGTCAATGGCTGATTTTGTCATGAGCAAGTCCGCTTCTCACTGGAAGGCGAGTTCAACTCATCACCATCTTCCCCTGTAAGAAAACCAGTAATTATGAGAAGGCACACTTTGTGGAAAAGCTAGGATTTTTTTTTTTTTTGTTCTGAGGGAGGACGGGATATAGAACTGCGTCCCATCTGCCACCTTTTAAGACTTGTGGGACATACCTCTTGTACTGTGTTTAAGGGGTCATTTATTTTTATTTCCCAGCTACATGAGATTCTTCCTGCACAAGTCAATCCTACTTAGCATCCAAAGGTAGGGCACTCCATTGTATTAATGGGACAAATCTCTGTAACAACCAGGCAACTTAGTTTGGGGCCGTGTTTTCCTCTCAGGGCTGTTTCACGTGGACCTCGTGCCGTGTCCACCACAGCTCGTAATGGACAACGAATTTCTAGTACATCTCCTAATCCTTACTCCATCGCTAGTGGGAAAGGAGAAGGACCTAACCTGCCTTTTGGAAGTACAGCTTGTCAGGACGGGAGTCTGCCAAGAAGAGCAAGTGGCGTGTGCAGAGCTCATCAAGGCAGGGAGCCAGAGGGACGCGAACCTAGCTGGCAGGGTGCGTGTGTGCTCCCCGTTTCAGCCTGCAGCAGCCTGGAGGAGTCTGCCAAGAAGAGCAAGTGGCGTGTGCAGAGCTCATCAAGGCAGGGAGCCAGAGGGACGCGAACCTAGCTGGCAGGGTGCGTGTGTGCTCCCCGTTTCAGCCTGCCG